GGGGGGGGGGGAAAGGAGTTTTAATTTGCAAGAGGAGGAAATCAGAGACATCAATTTAGTCTATAGTCTCAATCCTATAAATCCTGAATATCTGATACTTTCATAAAGAAAGTGACAAGTACTAATAATACATCTTACAACCATGAAAAGACTTTTATTTTATAAAAAGCCTTGGTTTTGACAGGAAAGCCTGCACGCTACTATTCAGAAACAGCATACATGCAATCTTCACCCGGCAATTTAAAAACCGAACAAAAACAATCAAATTGACAAATAGATCAGTTTGCGACGCCGAAGAAAATCACTCCCATGTACAACCCTGGGTAATAAAGAGGTAAGCACAGTGCAAGCCCATGTGCCATAGCACTCGTCTTACCTAACTGCTGGTTGCTATGGCAAGCATTTGCCTGGATTTTGTACATTACACAGTAATATGTTTTCTGCTTCCTCGTTCTTGATATTTTGATGAAGTTAATACTCCAGATTTGGACCCGCAAGGTATGGAAACTAAAGGTTCTCTCAAATAGTCATGCATTCCAATTTATTTTGGTATTGTGAAAACATCTTAGAATTCAAAATTAATGAATAATTCAAAAATTATTTTAATTCGTCTGTTAACACAGCTTTTTAAAAACTTGTGACTTATTTCCATTAGCTACTTTGCATACCTGTTGTACATGCATTTCTATTTTCTAGCTCACAATGGAAATGTAATCTACTTTTCTCCTTCGCTGATCTTTAATTTAATATAGAGATAACTGTGACAGTGATGAGAACTGAGATAATAAACAAATAATTTTAGGTCTGTATAATACCAATTTGTCTTTTCCCCTCTTTTTGATTTTTTTTTCCCCCTAATAGGTACAAAAGAATGAATTAGTAAAAAATTTATTTAGTCATTACTACTGTAAACTAATAACTGAATTCCTTTCTATAGTTGTCTCTACCTGAAACACAGTGGTATTTCAAAAGGTGCAGGAGAGCCAGCTATCAGTACAAGAGCCATTCTAATGAGGAGAGGGCAACGTTAATCTATTTGCTTCTTGATTTCTATGGTTACCATAAAGCTTTAACATACAAAATATAAACACATTTGATAAAATAGCCCCAACAGGAGAGAGAAACAAGCCTCTTCCCACCCCAGGGGCTCCCAGTGGACCAACTGCAAACTCAGCTGTCATCCACCAAAGAAAGATCCGTGACAAAACTTGGTAACAGTCATGCATGTTAAAAAAATATTTACTTTTGATAAGAACGTTGCTTCCACTATCAGCAAATCCACGCAGTACTCCTCTTTTCCATCCTCACACTTTGAAAAGAAAGAATTTGTACGCTGCTTTATTTGGCTGTTACATCATATCTTGACATTGTAAAGTAATAAAGAGACTTTGACAGCGGGCTCGGTAGTCCCGGATTATGACTTTTAACCTCTCCTTTACTTGGTAATGTATACAACTCGCAGAAATAGAGTCTCAAAAGCATATTTACAAACTGCCTAAAGGCCCATAACAAATGTCATATGCATTCTATTTACATTAATGTAAACAGACATAGATGAGGCCCAAATGCCGTCCTGGACAGCTGAAATGCTCTTTGCTCCTGCTCAGCTTTCCTGCTGCCCCTCCAGCTGCTCGTGCCTCCACACCCTGCTGGAACACTTCTTTCATAGGCAACAGCTAAACTCAACCCACCAGAAGACGTTCATTTCTATATTCTGATTCAGACTATTTTACATAAATATATATTAGTGTTGACGACAAGACTGTAAACTCTTCCATTCCTCTAGGAACGTGGCATAGGCAGCTGCAGCACCATACAAATACTTGAATAAATATATCAAGACAGCATAAGGAACAGAAGAAATGGATACCTGGACTTTAAGATGAATCTCTTATCCCAATCCTCAAACTCCTTAGGAATGAAGAAATTTAATGCAGCAAGCACACACTAACAGTTTATATTTTTGCCTCATGATACTTTATCATCACATAATAAAGCGTCTTCTTTTAGACATGACATTATGCCATTGTTTAAAATTAAATCTTCCAAAAAGAAAATAACATAAACTTCTCTAAACTGTGTTATTTCTTATTTAAAAATTCTTGGCACAATTCTCCATAACTGGCAATTCTTGATTATCATGCAGGCCAAATGCTGCCACGGCATTTGACAGGAGAAGAAGTCAACAAGGCATCCAGCACAGACTCTTTGCATCAATTTTCTTCTGGTCTGGACTCAGGCTTCAACCAATGCCTGTGGCAGAGAAATCTGTTTTCTTCTAAATCTGAAATACTACATTCTCCATCTGAAGTTCACACGGAAGGGAATCACCCCACCCAGGTACACAAACACAAAAACAGAAATGTTTTTTTGCTGTTACTGCTCAGTGATAACTGGAAACTCTTAAAGAGGCTGGGAAAAAAAAAAAAAAAAAAAGGGGTGTGTGTGTGTGTGTTGTTGCTTTGCAATCCTCTCATCACTAACCTTTTTAAAGAGGAATTACCCCAACGAATACCACTAGTGACTGCAGTGCCAATGGTTTTAATATGGTGAATTTTATTCTTTGCTTATTTAGTGATGTGACCAACTTCATCACTGCAGCACTTAAACTTCCCATATATTTTTTGCTTCTAGCATCCCTCTATGGCTAGAGGGTGTTGATCTCCCAGCAAAACGATCACCAAAGTCATCATACGCAGAGATGTCATTGCTTAGCATTTCCACAGTGCCTTACAAGGTGTTCAACGTTGTCACGCTACAAAAAACCCCGGCCAGTGTGTACTACAGCAAGTATCCCACCTGAAACTGCAGAGGCTGAGAAAGTTCAACATAAATTTACGTAGCGAAGGAATTTCATTTTACTACCCAGCATGTACCATGCTGCCTGCTGAGGGCTGCCTCCTTCACCATTGAGGAATATTCATCATTGCGCTTCCTCTAAGTAGTTCTTTCAAACTGACGTTGCTACTAATTAGTACTACTAATTGTCCAATTCATTCATAAGGTATCAGGATGGTATTTTAATAATCCCCTGACACAGGACTCCTAAAGCAGAATTCAGTTTCTGGAATTCTAATTCT